TTAGGGGTTTAGGGCTTTGGGGTTTGGGGCTTAGGTCTAGGGTTTAGGGCTTTAGGGTTTAGGGGTTTAGGGTTTAGGGGTTTAGGGTTTAGGGGTTTAGGGTTTAGGGGTTTAGGGCTTAGGGGTTAAGGGGTTTATGCAAGACGTCCTCGGACCATCCAAGGGTTTCGGGGTTTAGGGGTTTAGGGTTCTAAAGCCGTAAACTCGCAGCCATCAAAGCCGTACACCTGATAAGTCCTAAAACCTATAGCGCGCCAAAAAGGAACCCTTCAATGCGGCTAAACAGCCTCAAGGAACACCAGAAGGAACCACAAACCTCTGCCCGAAGCCGAAATTCAAATCCCTACGCACACCCTAGCCCTAACCCCTAAACAAACGCCTAACTGCCTCAACCCACCCTAAACCCTAAACCCTTTAAGGATCCCGATAGAAAATCATGCAAGGATCCTTTAAAGGCACCCTAAGCAAGACCCGGAAACCTCCGCCCTAAACCCTAAATTTGCTAAACCCTAAACCCTAAGCCCTAGATTCACTAAACCCTAAACCCTAAACCCTAAATTTACTAAACCCTGAACCCAAAAGCCTAAATTTACTAAACTCTAAACCCTAAATTTACTAAACCCTGAACCCTAAACCCTAAATTTGCTAAACCCTAAACCCTAAACCCAAAGTTTACTAAAACCTAAACCCTAAGCCTCCGCACCTCGGCGAGCAGGCTCTGCAGCCCTGCTGCTTGGAGCCTGTTTGGAAGACGGAAATCCCAAGATTTAGGGTTTAGGGTTTAGGGTTTAGGGTTTTTCAACAGGGTCCTTTTTAAGGGTTCCTGTAAGGGCACCTTTAAGGGTACCTGTAAGGGTTCCTGTAAGGGTTCCTATAAGGGTTTCTATAAGGATACTATAGGGTTTAGGGTTTAAGGGTCCATGTACCAAATAGTATAGACTTTGGTGTTGAAAGTAGTCCCTATATAGGTACTTTGGGGCCAAAGTCCATACTATTTGGGCACATGGACCCTCAGGGACTCTGATAACTAGGCCCCCGAAAAACATTCCAACCGTGGTGTTGGAGGGGGGTTTACTTCCACAATAGTAGTATATAAGGGCCCTCTTGCGAGGATTCTTTACGGGGCTGCTGCAACGGGTGGAGTTTCGAGTTCAAGGTTGGGAGTTTTGGTTCTTTAAAGGGTGCTATGTAAGTAGCTCTTTAAAGGGCCTCTGTGAAGGGTGGGGTTTTGGGGTTCACGGCTGGCGGTTTTAAAAGGCCTTTTACAAGATAACCGTTGGATTCAAGGGCCTTGATGATCAGACTGAAATTCTGTAGTGGGTCCTGGGCCCACCGGTGCTATTGGGCTTGCGGAGGGTCTTCATCAGGCTTTAATATGAAGGCCGCAATGATTAGAACAGGGCTTTGCGGTAGGATCTAGCGATGACAAACGGGGTCTTACTTCTAATGTTTCAGACATAATCCCTAAACCCTAAACCCTGACCCCCAAACCCTAAACCCAGCACATGACTTCGGACCTCACAAAAATTCGGGTTTAGAGAGTTCGAGCCTTACGGCACGTTAAGAACCTACGGTTTTTGGGCTCAGGCGGGTTTGAGGTGTGAGGCTGTAGGCTTGTGGTCACTGGGTGTAGGGTGGTGCGTTTAAAATGGTGGTTCAGGCATGGGGGAGCCGGTCTTGAGGTGCGTATGGATTTGAAACTTACAGGTTTGCAGCGTGTCTTTAGGGTTTAAGGGGTTTGAGTCTAGGGTTGAAAGGTTCTGAGAGACCCCAATACCCCTTAATTAAGGAATAATCATATTAGGGATCCTACTATAACCTAACGTATATTCCGTAAGTAAGGGGTATTGGAGTCTCTGGGTTTCAGGTTTAGGGTTTAAGGTTTGGGTGCGACCGTTCACTCAATTCCAAAATCCGGATGGTACACGCGCCTTACAGGGCTCATTTGGAGTGGATTTTCTAAAGGTGTTTGCAGGGTCATACTGGATCGTACAGTAAAGGGGCTACTTTCCGGCTGTAAACTGCCATGAACCGTAACCCTAAATCCCGCGAACCCTAAACTACCTTGAACCTCTCCTTAATTGACTAAAACCTAAACCCTAAACCCTAAACCCTGAACCCTAAACCCTAAACCCTAAACCCTGAACCCTAAACCCTAAACCCTTAAAAAAACCTTCAAACGGAACCCTGCACAACAATCCTCAAAGAAACCGTGAAGGGTTCCCAAAAAGGAACCCTTAAAGCCCTATATACCCTAAACCCTAAACCCTAAACCCCAAAGAAGAAAACATCCTACACCCGAAGACCAAAAGCCGGAAGCCCAAAACCTCAAAACCAGGAACTATATCCTGGACTCGGTTAAAGGGTTTAGGGTTTTAGCGTTTCAGGTTCATGTTTTAATTAAACCCTAAACCCTAAACCCTAAACCCTAAAAGACAAAAGCCAGTTCTGGCCTGCGGTGCTGGAGGCGCAGGTGCCGGTGGTGGAGGTGGTGCCTGTGTGAGCTTTCGGATTAGAGACTTTAGGGTTTAGGGTTTAGGGTTTAGGGTTAGAGACTTTAGGGTCTCCGGCTTTTGAGGCTTTTAGGTTAAGGTTTGTCTCTGGGTGGCTTTGGGTTTAGGGTCTACAGTTTACAATTTAGGGTGTACGGGCTTAGGGGTCACGGCAAGTTTAGGGTTTAGATCTAGGGTTCAGAGCTTTAGGGTTGAGAGCTCGAGGGCGCTGTTGAGCCTTCTTTTCAGGTTTACATATAGGTGTGTAAGCATAAGTATACGTATAAGTATAAGTAAAGTACGTATAAGTACAAGTATATGTATATGCATATGTGCATGCGTATGCATGTGTGTATGTTTATGCGTATGTAAATGTATAGCCATAAGCATGTGAATATGTGTACGTATGTGTATGTGTATGTACAATGCAAATGTGTGTATACACACACATATATATCATATATGTATATATATATATACATATACATACAGTGCAATTAAGGCATTCGTCGATCTCTTTCTACTTATGTCGTAGATATATGTACACTACAGCTTGCTTTGGATATGGGCCGGCTGACTCTCACAAATCGGCAGCTGCAAAGCACGGCAGCCTCATGAGGATTCGTGACTGTAAGCCATGTCCTTCAGCAGAGTCTTACAGAAAAGCGCCTCATACCACAAAGCTTCCTAGGTCCTGGGCCCCGAAGCCCTGAAACCTTCCCCCACAGCCGCACTAAACGTCCCAAAGCCGTAGACACCCTGAAACTGCAACACCCTAAACCCTACAGCGCTAAACTCTATCAAACCCTGTAGACCCCCCCCCCCCCCCCCTCACCGGGCTGGAAGGAGTCCTTGCAAGAACCCTGTAGCCGCAGAAGTGGGGGCGGCCTTTGCATGCCTCCTCGTCTTGGACAAAGCTGATGGTCTGGACGGAGGCGGTTCCTCAGCAGAAAAAACAGGGCGAGCAGTAGGGTGAAAAAGGTTGGTGATAGTTGTAGTGGTAAGAGTAGGAACAAGAGCTGCGGTACCAATAGTAGTCAAGAAGAAGCAGTAGCAGCAGCAGCAGAGGTAGTAGTAAGCTGTAGTAGCTGTTCTTGTTGAGAAGCAGCAAACATCAGCAGCAGCAGCTCCAGGTACTGTAGTAACATAGGGGCCTAAATAACTACCTATACTATTTTGGTTAAGGGGCCCCGAAACAAACCCTATTCTAACTATTAAGGCCCTATATTAAGTCCTAAACCCAAAACCCCAAACCCCCTAAACCCTAAACCGAAAAGCTGTCCAGGTGCTGCAGCTCGCGGCACAGGTGCTGGCCGGGGCACCTGAGTCAGGCTCGGGGCTCAGGTTCGGCCTCCGACTTCGAGGCATCCTCGCCAGTATTGACCTAACTACCGGCTCAGGGTTTAGGGTTTGGGGTTGAGAATTTAGGAGGTAGGGTTTAGAGTTTAGGGTTTAGAGTTTAGGGTTTAGGGTTTAGAGTTTAGGGCTTAGGGTTTAGAGTTTAGGACCACAACGACCACCGCCACTACTGCTACCAGTCACCACCGTCACTGCCACAGCGACTACGACTGCGACGGCGAGGAACACTACTGTTCCTGCCGCTGCTGCTACTTCTCCTGCCAGTGCTGCCCCGTACCAACTACTAGTGGCAATGCTGCGACTACTAAACTACTGCTGCTACCACTGCTGCTACTGCTACTACTAGTACTACTACTACTACTACTACTACTACTACTACTGCTGCTACTACTACTACTACTACTACTACTACTACTTACATCTTTCTATGTACTCTTGGTACTTCCAATTTCCACTCTACTACCTACTACTTGCTACCAGTACCAGTACCGCTGCCACTAGCTCGACCACAACCACTACCACGACGGTGACTACGACGATTGCTTCTGCTAAACTACTACTAGGACTGCTTTTCTGCTTCTACAGCTTTTGCTACTCGTACCGCGTCGGCATTGTTTTGCTGACAACGGCCGTTGAACCGCCAAGGAATTACAAACGCTTCGCATTGCTGGCGGCGCAGATGATTGCCATCGGTGTTGAGCTTGAGTCCGATCGTGCGGAGATGCTGATCCAGCAAGTCTTGAATTTGGAGAGGCACCGCAGTTGCAGTAGTAATCGTGTTTGTCACTTGTTGCATGATAGGCCCGGAAACCTAGAACCCAGCAGAGCCCAAATGGTTCAAACTCCCGCGCCCGGATGCCGGAAAGCCTGGGAATTGGGAACTGAAAGTCCCAAACGAAAAACACTCAATTCGCTCCTAAACCGTGCAGCACTAGCACAGACAGACCTGCACGTTGTTTTCTAGAGCGAACGGAGGCCCTGGCGAGAGCGAAGAGATATGCTAAGTGGCATTCTATCTGCTGCTTCCGTGGCAGACCGGAAGAAGGCGGGTCTGCAACCAACAGGATTTGGGGTTTAGGGGTTTGAATTACTGCTCTTCGATCTGAGGGTTTCAGTATTTGCCAATCCGAGGCTTTGGGATCAAACTTACGGCTGCAGGGTTTCAGGGGTTGGGGTCCTTTAAGTGCTGAGGCGACCCTAAACCCTAAACCCTAAACCCTAAACCCTGAACCCTAAAGGCGCTCAGGCTCTGGAGCCTTGAAGTGATGTGGGGCTATACGGGGCGTTTCCAAAACTAGGGGACTTCAATATAGTACCCTAAATTGAGTAATACGTTCCTTAAAATAAGGACCCCTAAAATAAGGTACCCAAATGTAAGGTTTAGGGTTTCAGGTCTTGGGTTTAGGGTTGAGGTATATTTGCAGGGTGTTGCTGCGATATGGTTGGACTTTGTTGGTTTGCCGTTTGCTTGTGTGTTCTCCTCCGGTAAATAAATAAATAAATATATATATATATATATATTTATATATATATACAGATATATATATATATATATATATGGCTATGTATATATATATATAGTATGCGTTGTTCTTGCAGGTTCCGTTGTCCTGCGATATGGGCTTAGAAACAGCTGCAGGTCCAGCAGGCGCCATGCAAGGTTCTGGTAAAACGACCTTACCAAGCCAGGGTTTAGAGTTTAGGATTTAGGGTTTAGGGTTTAGGGTTTGGGGTTTATAAACCCTGGAGCCCTAAACCCCCTGGCTTTAGGGAACTTTAGGGTCTAGGTCGCAGGGTTGAGGTTTGACCATTAGGCAACATCCTTTCACAAACGTGACGTAAAGATTAAATAGGTTAAGAAATCAATACTCCTCAAACGCGCAGAAAAAACGCGAAGCCCTTATCGGATCTAAGTCTAAGTGATCTTCTCCCATCAAGGTGTACTGTATGCAGGTCTACAGGCCCTCAGCCTTAAACCTGCAGACAAGATCAGGGAACTCAGCAGGCCTGTTATATTTAGCTATTATAGAAACCTGAATAACTATCAATGTTATTCCTTTGGATGTCCTTGTTCTGATCATACAGAAATCTACCCCAAAACCCGGATACTCCTCTGGCCTATGCTACCACAAGCCGGATTGAGCTTAACTCTTACTTCCCGCCGACTTATGCTCTGCTTACCGAGCCCCCTGATCCTGCAAGTAGACAGGTGGTGCAGAATCTGGACCAGCGTTTTGAGGCCCATGCGGATCTCGACGATTTCGAGATTGTTGCTTGGTCCTTGCGAGCTTCTTACCCTCCTTGAAACCAAGCCGGAGTCTGAAAAGGCGCTGCTTCTAAACTACTGTCGGGCTCATGATACTAGAGTCTTGAAGGACGGTACTATTAGCCACTATGAGTTCCTGGAATGACGCTTTCTTGGTTCAAAATAACTCATAACACATCGCCAGTTCCTGCAAATCTTGTTACTTGATGCGCAGGATGCTGGAAGCTTTGCTCCCTTGAAGTCTTGATGGTCATGGCTACTCATGAGGTAAATTTGCCAAGCCTAAATAATTGGTAATGCTCCTCCATCGGGGTCCTTATTCTAGTGGAAATTTTAATAGTACTCCAAAAAACCCTGTTCTGATCCTTAAGGCCCCTATATTTCCAGCAAGCGTATGAGGGTGATTCGCTAGATTGAGGCTTCGCCCTTACAAAAAGGACCCTAAAACCCAAAGCCCTAAACCCGTGACCAAAGATCGACTCGGACCAGCCAAGGTTTGTGGGATCGCCGAGCATATCGGGGTAGAGATACCAAGGCCCAGAATGATGAGGTGTTAGGGTTTAGGCGTTAGGGTGTGTTCTCTTTCACGGCATAATATGGCGACATTTCGTTGAAGATTCACGGGACCTGCTTCTATTCTTTTCCAGGTTTGGTTTTAGGATGGGGACTTTGGGTTCAATATTCTTTTGGGATGGTTAGTAGCGGGAACCCTACGATCAGTAGTTTTCTCTGCGAGGGCATCGTTAAAGTGCGTCTGGTGTGACTACGCATGACTGTCGTAAAATCACCGAAAACCGCTCAAAAGCCCATCTTGCGTATTATTTAGACCCTTGTATCACTGCAAAGACGCACCCCCTGCCTGCCCTGGTGTTGATCGCAAAGACGACGACACGAAGACGCAATATCCCTGCACCCAGAAGCTACGGTTGATGATATACATCCTGCACTACCCATAATCAGGAATATGCAATAGTTCCCATAGTATAGGGTCCTTAAGGCAATGCAGGATTTATACCATCAACTGCATCACTTCCCCCATGCAGAGTCCCAATTGCGCCGTTCACAGGATGTTAAGCGGGTTCGGTTGGGCTTCATATATAAGGTGTAAGGTGGATTTGGGGTTAAAGGGTTCGGGATTTATGCTTCAGGCTCAACGAGGTCGAGCTTGCTGGACTGAATCCTCTGAACACCAAATTCTTCGAACACTTACTAAACCTCCCGACTGAAGGCTCATATATATATACATATATATATATATATGTATACACTTAACTATTCATTTTAAATACATACATATATACATATGTGTAAAAAATGTTTATATATACACGTATGTATACTTGCATATGTATACGTATTTGCATATATTTGCATATTTACATTTTCACATGTGTATATATATATATACATACATTCACGTATGTATGTATATGTATATATCTATATATACGTATATATATATATATACACATTTACACATATACATATATATATATATACATAACTCTACGGCTGTAGCTAACACGTCCTTATAGTCGCACACACCAGAGAGACGCAGGGACGGCGCAATTCGACGATGTGCGCTTCGGCGATGGGCTCTGGACTGCGGCTGAGGGGCCTAATTGATCGGGCGAAGCTACTTGAATCCATTGTTAGGGTTAATTACCATAGCTACGGCGATCGCAAGCAGTCTACTCGTTGGTATGATGGCTGCGCATTTGTTACTTTCCTAACATGGTTGTGATTACATTGCCGTTATCCTCGCTTCTGAACTACACAACATTACCCTTGTTCTCCGGCTCATATCCTCATATTTCGGTCTTGCATTAGACTGCGACTTCCACAACGACGACGATTTACGAGGACTACGGAGGCGGCTGCTGCTGCTGACTGCTACTACTACTACTACTACTACGACGACGACGACGCCGACGACGACGACGACGACGACCACGACTACTCCTCGAAGTCAGACGAAGACCTCCAGGCTTTGCTATTCAGGGTTTAAGGGTTTAGGGTTTTGGGGGTTTGGATTTTAGGGTTTAGGGGGTTTTTGCTGGAAAGCAGATGGCTCATACATTTCTCGTTGTTCGGGGTGTAGGTCGTAGCAGTCGTAGCATTTGCGGGGTTATGCTGTTGGGTTTAGGGTTTGCGAGTTTGTTTGGTTTCGAATTTCAGGGCTGCTGGATTTTAGTGTCTCTTGAACTTTGGGCTTGCGGCATTAAGTTAGTGGTTCGCCAGTTTGTGCTTGAAACTTTTGGATTGACAAGGTTTAGGCATTCCGAGTTTTGGGCAATTCCAAAGCCTCGTAGGACACCAAGCGTGGTGGGGCCTTGCCAGTGGCCCGTCTGATGGCCGCCCGGCTTGATAGCATGTCTCTGATCCCTGTGCTGTTGAGAGAGGCTTGCTCATACGTGGGGATGGTTTCCCTGAATGCCGTTACAAACCCCATACCTTAAGCCCTGAACCCTAGACGCAACTAAACCTTGAACTGTGCCGTCTTTAAAGGAGCATAAATTTTGAACATGAGGCTCAGCATGAGTTCTGACCTTGGAACTTCAGGATTGTGAAAATTGAGACTTTGGGACAACGAACTCAAAACCTCGGCAACCGTTGTACAAATTGTAGTGTGTATGTATATTATATTTATATATATATATATATACATATATACATATATACATACATATGACTCATACTAATTAGCTACATCTCACACCAACAAAGTGCATCAGCCGACCAGAAGCCTACAAGGCAGCTGTTCTTGCTATGTCAGCGCTGTGAGTGTGTTAAATCGGATCTGCGTGGTGCGGCTAAATCCCCTTAATATGTGCCACCTGGGTTGCTTCAGGCTCTTCGGCATGCAGACCAACTAGCGAAGCCTGTACCTTACCTTAATCTTAGACCCTATACCCTAAATCCTAAAGCGGCCACCCAGGATTTTGTCGACTGCGATGCGGCGATCGGTCAGGATGTGGCATTGAGCCTCCGGCAACGTGGCCGGATAGCGGATGCCGCGATGCTGTGCCTGGGCCATCCATTTAGGGTTTAGGGTGTGGGCTTAGGGCTTAAGGCAGCCATGAATCAATGAACGGGGAGACAAAAACAGACCGGGGCCTCGTATCTGAATTTGATGGAGTTTTCTGAATTCATGGTGTTTTTAGGTCTTCGGGTTTGGGGCAGTGGCTTCAGGGTCTGTTGTAGCCCGTTCTCGTGTAAGACAGGGTGCGCTAAATCCAAATCCGCAAACTCCGAACCCTGAACACTAAACTCTGAGCCCTGAGCGCAAGCAAAGCGGTGCAGAAGATGTTTTCAACCGTGCTGGGCAGACATTTATGTGTGTTTACCATGCTGGCATAATATGAAGTGAACGACGAGCTGTACATGAGCATTCTGTATGCATGGACACAAACAATACAGCGTTAATATGTAGAGTTTTCCGTGGCATGTTCAATCACGTTGTTATTGCTTTGCTCTTTGCTTTCCTGTAAAGCACAGACGCGCATCACGCATCAGACGCAGATGCGCCAACCTCCAGAGCAAGAGCTCAAGCCAAGACCTTCAGACTCTAATACCAACTGTGACGTTCCCTTATACATGTGTACAACATTGTAGTGTAATTAGTAACAGTAGTGCTAAGGGCTCCATGTGGTCCATCTTGATGTTTATTGAAACTCCCCCCCCTTAAACCAAAACCCAACTCTCCTTACTAATGCCCCTATACGACGACACGTCTGAGCGCCCCTAGACACTGGACCCCTAAACCCTTAACCGAAATCCCAGTATCCCGACACCCTAAATCCCTGAACCCTAAGCCTTTAAGCCCCCCAAGTCCCTGCAGCTCGAGGCTATCTCGACTGCCCAACCTAGATCAAGGCAACGGCACGGTTGCGGGCCAGGTGGGCAGGCTCCACGGATCAGGAGATTAGGGCTCTGGGTGTTTAGGGTTTAATTAGGGCTTAAGCGCTCTAGGGTCTGGGGCTTAGCGTAAGTATGGGTTCTGCTCGGGGGACGAGGGGGGCGGGGCTGATTATCGACAAGAGCGTTGAGAGAATTAGGACTTGAGTGGAAGGGGCCCGGTAGCCGGAGCTGCAGCTCACATAGTTGGGATTATCCGGTCTTGGCCCAGGTTTATCAGCTACTACCCTAAACCCTAAACCCTGGTCGGAGTTAGCTACTTGGCCTTGGGCATGAAGATGCTTTTCAAGCTTCCGGCTATCGGCTTTTGTCTTCGTTTCAGTCCTAGGAAACAGGGTTTAGGGTTTAGGGTTTCGGGGTGTTTGAAAGGTAGCTTCGCTGTTCTAGCAGCAGAGGTTCTATGGTTTTGCAAGGGCTGTGGGGCTTATCGTTTTGAAATCGTGTCAGAGCAGTGGCGTTTATGCTTTTTTTATGACTTGTCGGTTCGGATGACAGCTCCTCCTGCGCAAGTTCCTAAGCAAAGCTTGGAGGCTTCGTTTCTTTTCGAAGTGCTTTGCTTTTCGATGTGGCTTCTGGGATCTGTTGTTGTTTCTCTTTTCGGGTTTATGCCGTTTAGAGGTTGTGCTGTTGTGGGTCGGTTTGGCAGGTTGGAGGCTGACGGCGAAGGGATTCGAAAGCAGGTTTAAGGGGGTTTAGGGTTTAGGGTGTATGACCCCACCTGAAATGCCCGGCCCAAGCCCAAACCCCCCGGCCCTCCACTCGCCCAAGGGGCAGATCTCAAGCCCAGCGCTTCAACACTACTACTTAGAACCTGGTTTAGGGTTATAGGGTTTAGGGTTACCATAGACCGTATATCCCAAAGCCTAAATCTTCAATCCAAAACCGCAGACACAGGACCCGATTTCCGACCCGAAGCTTACTTGTGTTAAACGGCGACAACGCAGAACCACTTGCCATCAAGGTGATATCCGCAATGATAGCGGTGAGAGTCATAAACGGGACGATTGTCATCATCAGTTTCAGAATCGAGCGCAATACAAGGTACCCCTGTCCATATGAATATGAACAGAGATAGACTTTTGATAGCAACACTGGAACGTTGCGCGCCCAATTAACTGATATGCAACACCGATAGCAACTTTCCCGAGAGCACTGTAGTCCGTCACACGTCCCTTCCAGGTATCCTGCTAATTTAGGGGAATTTCAGCCCATACGTAGCACCGAAGGCTTATCTCCCGTACAAAGCCCCTCATGTAACACTCTTGTACAGAACCCGTATAGAAGTCTTATCGAACTCATATAGAACAGTCGTAGAACCCTTAAAATCATAAAACTCTTACCAACCCTTCAGAATTCCAAAGCCCCAAGTCCTAAAGCCTGACAGGGTGCAGGTGGAGGATAAAACCCTATATAACCTCCTTGTACTCACAGAAAAGGATCAAAAAGCAAGAACACGGCAGCACAAAATTAACAACATAAAACGACAGTTCAAGCAACTTGATACAAAAAACACGCAAGGTGGAGATGGCATTGGGGGATGTGGAGCTCGAGCGGCTGCAGGAACTTCTAGCACTTGGAGACGATGGTGCCGAGGGCGGACAAGGATGGCCCTAAACCCTAAACCCTAAACCCTAAACCCTAAACCCTAAACCTTAAACCGATGGGATGGTGATCCCTTGGAGTTCATCATAGTCATGTGGGAGTGTCCGAAATCAACTGGGGGGTACCTTATTTTGGGGTCCTTATAATAAGGACCCTACTATTTGGGGTACTATATTAGGGTCCGCTATTTTCGGACACCCCCACGTATGTGATAAGTACGGTGGTTAGAATAGGCATAATGATTGAATTTTATTGATTACATACGACATGGTGGTATGTATCAAAAGCGCGGTATGATAGACCCCGCTACTGTAGCCTGTCCTAAGTAGTGAGGCCGTTGTGTGAAGCCGGCGGGGATTGCTTCTGGAAGCCCAGGACGTCTGACAGTATAAGCAGGGTTCAGGGGTTCAGCAGGGCGGGGGGGGGGGTGGGGGGGGCTGGTCATAGGGCATGAATCAGGTGCACCGGAGTTATAGTTTTCGGTTTACGGTATAGCTAAAGTATATAATGCAGCGATGCAGCCCGTCGTCCCTTTATGAGGGCTCTTATTCAGGAGCCATGCCCTTCTAATCTGCTTGTCATCCACACTCGCTCACCCGGGATGGTTCTATGTTAGGGTGCTGGTCAGTGTCTAGCGAACTCCACAGCGACGTCCTGCGAGGGGTGGTAGTTTGCGGCCTGATTCACTGACCTCCGTGCGTGAAGTCGCAGTTGGAGGCGTCAGACCCCTTGATGTCTGGTTTCTCGTGTCCCCTAAACCCTAAGCCCTAAACTCTAAATCCTAAGCCCTAAACCCTAAACCTAAACCCTAAACCCTAAACCCTCCGAACACCCAGAAGGCCGGCTCCCTGGGAAGCGACGTCTGCTGAACCATCGGCACACAGACGAAGTCTCATGCCAGCCATGATAAAATGCTCTGATGAACCCCTGCACAACAAACCTGTACCACTTCATAAAGCCTTTATGAAACTTTACCTAAGTAAGCCCATCATACACTTCTGGCATAAAGCAAGGCGCTATGCTATGCAACCCCGATGAGGGCAAGCCCAGAGCCCGAGGAGGCGATGTTCTACCCGTATCTGCAACCCCAAAAATCCGGAGGAGAACAGGTAGTAACTGGGTTTAGGGTTTAGGGTTTTAGGTAGTATCCCAAATAATCCTAAAAATGCGGAGGAGAACAGGTAGTAACTGGGTTTCGGGCCTTTAGGGTTTAGGTAGTACCCCAAATCTTAAACCGTAAACCCGGAGTGCGAGGAGAACAGGTCGTGTTCGCGCCGGTGGACTCCTCTGGCTTCCTTCTGCCATTCCAGGGTCAGGCTTGAGCGGCCTTTCGGAGGGTTGCTTTTTTACGTGTTTGAAGTGGCTCTTGATTGGTTCTAGGAGGCCTCTGCCAGGTTTCAGGAGGGTTTTGGTCGTAGGTGTTGCATCAGCGGGCTCTCATGGGTTTTGAGAAGCTTTTTGACCGGGTTTTCGAAAGGGTTTAGTAGCTTTTGAGAGGTCCCTTTATAGCGATTGGTTTGCAAGGGGTGTTGATAGTATGTTGTGAAGGTCATCGAGGGTCTCGGTCGCTTCCATGGGTCGGCGCTGTCAAGGTTCCCACTAACTCGAAACGGCCTTGGCGAGGGTTAGGATTCTACGCGCTTTGGGGTTCTACAGTACTTGGAGTCTTCGGGCAAGGTGAGCTGCTTCAGGATTTACGAGTTCAACTTCAGACGTATGTAAGGTTTGCAATCGGCTAGTCTTTTGAACCCTAAACCCCTGAGCCCCTAGACCGCGATGCAGTAGGGCGCAAGACTTAGCGGTTCAGGATCGAGCTTGTGGGTCTTTGGTGAACGTTCAGATGCAGTGTGCAGGATTGCAGGCTCAAGATCTACATCTCGTCAGCGTTGTACGACCTTTTTGGGTTTTTTTGTTATGACAGACCCTGCCGAATGCTGAGACGAGCTTGCGGTGTAAAAGGCCTCGAATTCAAGTCTCAACCAAGGAATAGGTCATGCAGGGTGCAGGGACCCATGTCAAAATAAACATAAGCTCTTGAAGCCTTCCCCCTATGGAGACAGTACTTTGAACAGCCCATGCCTAGGTGCTTGGTTTGGTTCCTAGAAACCTTAAGTGCGAGCGCTTTAACTCCTCGAAGTTTCATTTCTGGGGCCGCAACGCGCGGAAGCTGTAAGAAAAAACGTACTTGGCAAATATAGGCATTGTTTTCAATCCAGGGGTTGTTCGCATAGGACGCCATATACAAAGGTTTCCGTGAACCAGTCTAGATTGTGTGCTAACCTACACTCTAAACCCTGAACCGCAAACCTAGGTGGCGCACGCCCGAACAATGCTTCATGTTTGGAGCACTTCGGGAAAAGAACTGGCCGCTATTAGCGCAAACGAGTTCGAGCATGCACAGGCTCTAAAGGAGCACTTGCGTGGACTGTATGGTTACCCTGTGTGCATGCAGCAACTTGTGCATAACGGGAACATCTTAGTTGATCACACCAAGCTGGAGGACACCAGGGATCTGCAGTTGATTTTGCAGACAATCAACAGCCTCTCGCGAAGCAACCAAGCTTCGAGTCTTGCAAAAAATGAACTGGCCTGGGCTGCTCAGTGTAATCGTGAGGACACGGTTCGCTTCTTGCTGGAATCTTGTGTCAATCAAGACTGCTGTCACCATGACGGTATGACAGCCCTAATGTTCGCATGTACCAGTGGTTGTTTGGAGGTTGCACGCTTGTTGCTTGAAGCTGGTGCTGCACAAAATTTGGGAAACCGTATTGGCAAGACACCCCTCGTGCTCGCATCGGAGAGGGGTCACTTGGAGGTTGTACGCTTGCTGTTGGAAGCTGGTGCCGAGAAAGACCGCGCAGACCGACGTGGCAAAACAGCCCTGATGCTTGCATGTGACGAAGGCCACTCGCAGGTTGTACGCTTGCTGCTGGAAGCAGGTGCCGAGAAAGACTGCACAGACCTTGGTGGCAAAACAGCCCTAATGCTTGCATCGAGCCGTGGTCACTTGGAGGTTATACGGGTGCTGCTGGAAACTGGTGCTGAAAAAGATTCCGCTGACCTCAACGGTGTGACAGCCTTGAAGCTCGCATGCGAGAGGGCTCACTTGGAGGTCGCACGCTTGCTGCTGACAGCTGGTGCTGTACAAGATTGCGTAGTCCCTGGCAGCAGGACACCCCTAATGCTCGCATCTGACCGAGGTCACTTGGAGGTTGTGCGCTTGCTGCTGGAAGCTGGTGCTGGCCAGAACTGCTGCGACCATTTCGGCAGGACAGCCCTGATGTACGCCTCCAGAAGTGGTTCCTGGGAGGTTGCCAGGCTCCTCCTCGAATCCGGTTCTGAGACAGATTTCCGGAATTCTTGGGGCTGGACAGCCCTGATGTACGCATCCCAGAGTGGTGCCTTGGAGGTTGCACGTTTGCTCCTGGAAGATGGTGTGGACATGAACTCGACAACCTGTGATGGCATCACACCCCTAATCCTCGCATCTGAGAGGGGTCACTTGGAGGTGGCACGCTTGCTGCAAGAAGCTGGTGCTGACCAAAACTGCAGGGAGGACAAGCTCGGCTGGACAGCGCTGATGTTCGCATGTCAGCATCGTCACTTGGAGGTTGCACGCTTGCTGCTGGAAACTGGTGCTGACAAGAACTGCTGCGACCATGAAGGCATGACACCCCTAATGCACGCGTCCAGGAGCGGTTTCCTGGAGGTTGCACGCTTGCTGTCGGAAGCTGGCTCTAGTAAGGATTGTGCAGAGCGAGGTGGCAAGACAGCCTTGATGCTTGCATGTGACGAAGGCCACTTGGAGGTCGCACGCTTGCTGCTGGAAGCTGGTGCTGAGAAAGACTGCACAGACCGTGGTGGCAACACAGCCTTAATATTGCTTCTAAACGTGGTCACTTTCAGGTTGTACTCTGGTTGCGCGGTGTTGGTGCAAAGAAGAGGCTGCACTGACGATGTCGACAAGCGTCAGCAGTGTTGTCAAAAGGGCTCCATGCGCTGACCTAGACTAGTAAGTTTGAATCCTGAAGACCCTATGTAGATCCTAAAGCCCAGACTGGACCGAAAGCCCTAAAAAACTTGCCCCTGAGAAACGATTAGCCTGAAACTCTCAAAGCCGTAGCGGCTCACTAACAAAAAACCAGAAATACAACGGGCAGAATTACAAGACAAGAGCGGAGGAACCAGCGAGCCAACCAAACAACAGCAGCAGCAGCAACAACAACAACAACCATTGTCAACGACAACAGCACCAACATCCAACAACCAACAGCCCCACCAACAACCAACAACCACCACAGCCAACATCACAACGACGATGGCCGCTGCAAATCAAAAAACAGTACGCAGGCCATCACCTCAGCGGAAGAAGCGCTGGAGGCGTGTCAGAGGCTGCGGGATGCTCCGGTGCTCTCAGCTTCCCGGCCGTCCTTGCAATTAATGTAGGGGCCTTAATAATTACCTATACTATTTGGGGGGGGTTACTTATATCATAATTATAGTATGATTTACCCCAACACCCTATTCTAATTGTTAAGGCCCCTACATGGTCTGTCTATAGTTCATGGTGTTAGAAGTATTGTTGTAATCTCACGATATCTCCGCTTCGGGTATTTGAAGATCCACACTTCCGATCTACCTACTTGTAACCAATAAGTTTAACATGTTGTTGGGGGTTTGCCATCTTGCTCTACGCTACATGGTCTTGGGTCTTTTTGGTCGAAGGGTTTGAGGCCTTGCGATATGACGGTTTGTGGTTTCAGGGTTAATCGGCTCTCCTTTGACCCCACAGTCTATACCCAAACCTTGTTCTCTCGTCCGTTAGCCACACGCCTTTACCCTATGGCGCACCCCAAACGCTACAAACCCTTTGTATTCGTTCATCCTTCAGACTTGTAACATATATGTGAAGCTGCATTTCAAGCCACAGAACTTCTACGGTTCAACACTAACACAGCAACCCTTACGCATTGTCTCAGAACTGTAAGCCCCAAACCCTAAACCCCTGAACCCTCAACCCTAAACCCTAAACCCTCAGAGCCTGAAGCTCTCCACCCTGCTCCTAAGCCGTCAAGGCCTGAACCCTCGATCCTCAAGGGTAAGCGCGAAGCCTCAATCCCAAGCTCTCGACCCAAGATGCTGCAGCCCCAAGCAGACACCCAACCGTCAGCCCTAAACCTCAACCCATCCCAAATTTTAGAGACCTTAATCTCTGAGGCCCTAAAACTGAATCCACCCGACATTGTTAACGCCATCTCAACCCTAAACCCGAAACCATTTGCTAAGGGCCCTCAACCCTAAACCCAGAGCTTCTTCTTTAATCTAACCTCTAGACTCTGATCCATACACCCTAAAAACCTTAAGCCCCTTAACCCTAAACCATGCTGCCTCTTTAAGGGCCCCATACACACACCCTATAAAACCCTAAGCCCCGCATCCCTATACCCAAATCCTATACGCCGCAGAAGGTTCCGGTCACCCTAAACCCCAAACCCCTAAACCCCCATACCCTAAGCCCCCCTAGTCCCCTTTAACCCTAAACCCCAACCCGCTAGACCCCAACAAACCCTAAACGCCCTACTCCCCTCCCAAAGGCTCCATGTACCTTTATAGTAGATACTTAGGCCTTAAAGGGGTCCCTATGTAGGTACTTTAAGGCCTACGTACCTACTATCAAGGTACATGGAGCCTTAGGGCCTTTCAGGTTCAGGTCTTCCGAGAGGAGGCTCCGTTCTGGCACTGCCCGGCGAGCATCCTCGCGGTCTGCAGCGACGACTCTGCCGAGCTCCCTTGCTTAAGGGATGGTTTATGTGTGTGTGTATATATATATATTATATATATATATATAGTCATACTTCTGCATGCATGCATGCATGCATGCATGCATGGATGGATGTATGTATGTATGTATGTATGTATGTTTGTATGTAATTAATGTATGCATGCATGTATGCATGTAATTAATTTATGTATGTATGCATGCATGTGTGTATGTATGTATGTACAGAACATTCTGTAAAATAATATAACACAACATAATATAGTGCAATGAATAAAATCAAAAAATATAATATAATATAATATAATATAATAAAATATAATATAATATAATATAACATAATAGAATAGAATATAATATAATATACAAAATATAATATACAAAATATTATATATATATATATATATGTATGTATGTAGGGTTGAGGGTTCACAGTTTAGGCTTGGGTCTTAGGTGTTCAGTGCCAGGCTTTGGAACTTCGGGTCTAAGGGTTAGGCTTGTCAGGGTTCGGAATTTAGGTTTGGGTTTGAGGGCTTACACCTGTATAGGGCTGATGTTGTTTTAGACGGCTGGAAGCTGAAAGATTAGGGTTTAGGGTCTGGGGTTGACAAACAAGGTTTAGCGTTCAGGTTTTGAATTCGGGGTATGGGTCAGGGTTTGGGGTTTAGGACTAATTCCAAGAATTCTAGGGTTTAGGGTTCAGAGTTTAGGGTTCGGGTGCGGGGTTTGGGAGTACTGGTCGGGCTAAATATTAACTTATTGTGCAAATGTCCAGCACTTTAGGGCAGTTTGCTCCAGGCTTTTCGATCTCACTGCTCTTCGTGCTGAGTCTAAGCCGTCGGAACCGCGCGATGCTGTTGAGACGAAGCCTTCGGAGAAAGCACCGCTGACACTTGGTATGCAGTGGTTTAGAGTTCAGGGTGTCAGGTCTGTTTTCGTATCAAGTTCGGCAAAACCTGTAAGTCATACATATAGGTGAGCTGGCAGCATTTATGCCACCAACATCGTGCCTTGACAGAGGGTCCGTGTGCGTTCTTCCGTGTGCCAGTCTGCCGTCCTTGAGAGCAGGGGCACTTGACAACAAGTGCTTTGAGTTCTAAAGCAGGTCGACTTCCAGAACCTAAACCCTATAAGCCCTAAACCTTTAAAGCGCATTGGGTTCTCGCGACCTCAATGCCCAGGCCGTTCACCGATTTCTTGAGGCAAGTCATAGATTCAACCCTCCTCCCCACGACTTCCGAAGACCATGGCAGATTCTTCGTTCAACCTCCACCCTGGCCTGCCGGGTTTAGGGTTTAGGTTTGGGGGTTTAGGGTTTAGGGTTCAGGGCGCCTTCAGGAATGGGTACAGCGACCTCCCATGAACCCCAGCAACTTCTCCAGGATCTGAAATCCAAGCTAAACCCTCCGATCTCATCAGTTTTGTCCCGCAGACTGCCAAATGTCAAGGCTCAGTGTCTCAGGATTTCGAGCTCCAAGAAGAGCCCAAGCTAAATGTTTAGGGTTCAGGGTTTGGGGTTAAGGGTTTAGGGTTCGGGTTTAGGGTTTCGGGATTTCATCCATAATCAAGCTTCGCCCAACATCGCAGCTGCCAAGTCCGCAACAGACACTGAAACCCCGATCCTTTCGCTTTGCAGCGCCAGTGCCAAATGCACAGCTCTGCTCGAACCCGGCTTAATTCTATCCCTTAGATCCTGAAGCTTCGAAGTTGTCGCACACCCTAAACCCTAAACCCTAAACCCTAAACCCTTAGGACCACTTTTGGCTTCAACCTTCCGGCGGGTGCGGAAGTCTCCATTGGCTGGCCAGATGCCACTGCAAGCCTGCGGGCCCTGCTGCCCCTGCGGCATGCGATTGATGTTTTAGGGTTTAGGGTTTAGGGTTTAGGGGTTTAGGGTTTAGGGGTTTAGGTTTGATGATGGTTCTTGCAGCCCATCTGTGCTTTGAAAGCTTGGTGACGTTTGCTTCAGCGTTTCGAGGGTATGTAGAGCTAAATAGGGACTTATAAGAACTATCGGGGTCGAAGCAATCGAGACAATACCCCCTACATAATTGAACTAAATGTACATGTGGCATAAAACAACCCCAAACCCTATTCTAATCAACCCTGTAGGAACTGGGGTCCTCCAGACAGATCTCTGATCATAACTGGGTTCAACCATTATAGCACCCTGATGGGGTTTTAGCCTTGCAGTGCTTAGGCCAGGTTTTGCCCTTGTAGGGAAGTAAGGAGACTTTACGACTATGGTTCAGTACCATTTATAGGGTCCCTTTGAAGGGAACCATAGGGTTCTATACGCCTTCGATCGATTGCCGGGTTTTACGCCCATATCCCAGACTCCAAGCTCGAAGCCCGCGTGATCCTTCTGGACCATATAGAAGCTTCAGTATTTCTTAGGCTTAGGATCCCTGACTATGTTCAATTCTGATTAGCTTCTTAAGGCTTCTGCATCACCACAAGCAGCTCCTTCTCTGAGGTTTTGCGGGTTTTCAAGCAAAGTTCTGAAGACTCGGTGCTTAGGATTCAGCGGGTTTTTTACCTGAGCCCTAGGCCCTGAACCCGGAACCCCTAGACACGAAAGGGCTCTTCAGACAGCACAGGGGGCCCAGTGGGTCCTTCTCTGTAATGGCATTCACCTTTGAATCGAAGGAGGTATGGCAGACTCATAGAGAAGCCTAGATAACCTGTATAGAACTCACAGAGACCTCATAGTGCTCCTGCTGACCGTATGTAGACTCCAACAAGCCAGGAAGCAACAATTTTGGATACGTGTTAAGTCTGTGAAGTTGCCCCTAACTTAGGGTCTTATAATTGAGAAGCGGGCACCCATAAGCTGCACAAACCGATAAACGCTTCTAAGCCATACGGAGCCTATCAGCTGCAAACCCTAAACCCTAAACCCTAAACCTGAAACCCCACAAGCCTAACTACCTACAAAACCCTATAAGCCCTCGGCCGTAGAGCTATAGACGCTGAGCCCTGATTTGGGGACCTGAAGAATCACGACAACTCTTTACGAAAATATGCTCCCAAACCCTCTTCTAATTGATTATCAAGGCTCCTAATCATATTACACCCTGATCCCTAAAGCCCTAAACCCCTAAACCCTAAACCCTGAACCCTGAACCCTAAACCCCTAAACCCCTAAACCCTGAACCCTGAACCCTAAAACCAACCCT